AAAACGAGCTATATGAGCACATGTACACATCTTAGGCTGATTACATAATTGTTGTATAACATTGTTGAAAGTCTGTGGAATTGGCTTTATCAGAGAATCGATTCCTCCAAAAAATGGAATCACAACTACATGTAGGAAGCCTTTAACCCGTATGTAATGTAGCCAGGAATCATGCCCAAAATCACGATGCTAGCAACATGAGCAATGCTGCAACCCAGGAAATATGGGTTTATGGACATTGACAAATTGACTACTACATTTGTACCTTTTATTTTAGTTTTCTTTAGAAAAAAAAGTCTGACACGAATGACAAAATTTCCAGTTTTACATGGAATTGCCCATATAAATATATGCAATTCACCCTTAGATATTTCAGGCAATTTCTAAAATAATTCTTTTCAACTTTTGAATTTCTTACATGGAATCACCCTTTTAGAACCTGTTTTAAGCATCACTGGCCAATTGCATTATTATCCTTATTCATAAATACCGTACCTTTTCAGTCAAAACCATAAAAAAGTTGAAAAATCAGCAAAATCCTAATGATCAGGCTATTCCATGGTGTGCACAGCCTATTCAGGACAAACCTTTTAGATACATGCTGCTTAAGAAATTTGCTTTAGATATTCTGAGAGTTATTTAAGGCACCTGCTTGAGATGAAGATCAGATATTTTGGCCATGTAAACTGCCGTCTTTTAATTGTGTCTAATTAGGGCAATTTATTTCATTGTCGAAGAATCAAACATATCAAAGTTTAGAAAAATGTTTAGTTTTAAATGTGTATGTGGGTCACAGTCTTTTTATTTTATTTACATACCACTTAACCAAATTTGTAATTCTTTTTCATTGTTTTTTACAAACATACCAACACATTGTTGTGGGCTTTTAAGGGTATTTGACCTTGCCTGATTCTTTTTTGTTTTGTTACGGTTGAATAATAGACAAAGCCATCAGATTTCATTCTTTTGAGTTGAATCACGTAGGAGACGGGCCAGAGCAACAGATGGCTGCATTGTCATTGGTCCTTGTATATTGGACACTGCCTGAAGAACCTCTACCCCTCAAATATCATCATCCAAATAACATTTTAATAGTTATTGGATGTTAAAGAAGAAAAAATAATCAAACATATAAATTACAATTTCAATAAATCACTGAAAATAGTGTGCATATATTTACAGCCTGGATGTGTACAAGTACATGTATGTACTGTATTTAGAAGTAGTCAGAATATGTGTTTATGTGTCCTACATGTACCTGGTACATGTACAATGTACATATTAAATCACATAAGTTCAGGTGTAAGGAATATATGTTTTTATTGGCTTTGAACATGGACACTTAGAACATGAATAAACTGATACGAGTCTAAGGAACATCTTTTGTTTTGTCTTGTCTTACATTTTCTTTTTGTACAAGTAGTTGTAATTAATGCTATAAACCCATGTCTCATTAACAAAAACTGTATTAATTATGATTAGAAGGTTGTGGTTGGCAGGATAACCTTTTGCTACAGATGTGTACATGTATGATGAAGCTATTTGTTGCAATTACTGGTGATAATTAACTGATGACTCTGCATCAACAGGTACATCCTATACTGGAAATATGTACAAAAATGTAAACATATTGCACAGGCTGTTATGCAACTTTGTAGTGTATTCGTTTTTTATTACATGTTAGTACCGGTACTTACAGGAGTCATTGATACACATGCACGTACTGTATAGCATTGGGACAACGTACCGGTATTAGTATTAAACAGTGTTTATCATTATGCTCATTTTGATAAATTTTATGAGAGGAATTTGCATTTGAAAGAACATGGGTATAATTTTACTGCAAACTGCATAACTCCATGCAGGCATACATGTAAGTCACTGTTGAGAATATTGCTATACTTTGAAACACATGCGCAAGTACACTGAATTGTGCGTGGTACATGTATACTGTGTGGAGGATGGTGCCATTGTAAAAACCATGCTGACTGAGCACACAAAGGGATCTGCTCATTGTAAACACAACAGGCCCTGCTTACTTTACCTTCAAGTTGGTACAACGTGTAGTCTGACTGTGCATGCCCGGTGTGCTGTATATGCTCACATGGATGATACTGTAGTGGTGTGGATAACGTTTGCATCTTCTGCTTCTGCTATTTTTTGGTGAACATCGTACATGTAATGAACTTGAGTGTAGAGCCTACATGTAACACTATAAGGAGCTATATTGATAGACAATCACTCAACATGTTATTCCTAGAAAGCTTGGTAAATGTTGAAGACTGCATGAGTTTGGTGAGTTATTATTAATATTAGCAGCCATTACCTTTAACGTGTACATGTACCATTGAAAATAACTCTTATTTTTTTTCCTTTGGGTGATGAAAGAACTACATTTTTAGAATTCCATGTTTACTATTATATGAACATGTACATGTGTATATCATTATGTATTCTTGAACACTACTGGGTATAGGACTTGATTGTGTCTTTTAGCTGTGGACAGTACATTTACATTTATTTTGTAACTCCATGCAGTTGCTGTATGTACACAATCAAATCTGATCAAATGTAAACCCTGGTGTTCAGAAACATGTGCGTATGTGCATGTACTTGGGACAACTTGATGCCCTTTTGAAGGTATTGCAAAATTCCTGTAAACCACAAATCTTATAAAACCAATTACTCTTTCTCTAGAGTACTTGTACACTTATGCATCTGAATTTAAACATCTACAATTGAGTGTTTTACTGGATTATGTTTGGAGCTATTACCTTTATCTTTTGAACATGTGCGTACCATTTATTTACAAGTTGGCTGTGTTTGGACAGCCTTTTAGCAGTTATGAGTCAAGGTTGCAGACCAATAAATAAACTGCCATAGACACTAGTGATAAATATACCTACTTCTGAAATTCAGGAAAAATATTCGAAACTCTCCAAGGTGTTTGAAACGTGTGTCTCAAACAACTTGGAGAGTTTCGAATATTTATCAAATTACAGCTTATTTCATCATCTTTCATTTTCTGTTAAAATTTTTTTGGTTAACTGATGACTTTTAGGAAAAAATTCCATCCAAAGATGATCACCCCTAAATGTAGTCCTGTAGCTCATCGCCATAGAGCAATTTGTAGGGCCCAATTTCATCCGAATATCACAGAAACACGAGCTCGCAGTCCTGTGCACGGCTTTTTTTTTTACAAACCCTCAAAATGCTCTAATAACAAAAAAATTTGAGGGCATGCAAATGGTGATTTGGCCGGCGTAGGCAATTTTGGGCCTATTTACTGGCCTGCAACCTAAAACGTTTAATACTAAAGGGTGAGGTCGGCAATGGAGTGTAGCTATGGGCGCTACATACGCTAGGCAACTTAATCGGGAAGTATTTTAGCTAAAATTGTTCCGTTATCGTTTACAAGATTGTTCTGGTTTAGTGCTAAACCCTCCCGCCGCGGTTGCCATTGCATAACTCAAATCAGTGTAAATTGTAAACCGTTCAGAAAAAGTTTTAGTGAAAACGTTACGCTTAATCTAGTTAACCAGTGTTTTGCATAAGTAATTTTTTCGGTGTCACTCATTAGCATAGACATGCACATTGTCAACCTTAAAAAACCACAATGTTGATGGCATAAATACATGTCACTTTAAAGGCTTTTTAAAACAAAAAGTGAAAATAATTAATGATCCCTTACAGGACAGGTTCATGTATATTAAAATTGAAATTAAAGATTTTTTTTTAAAATGCCACACAAACCTTTTAAAGCTACAGTCCATCATTTGTAATTTGTGCATTTTGTTCGTTTGAAGCAACAAAAGAGTTCAAAATCTAATGAAGGATACTGAGCAGCTAACCTGGTGAAGTTTCAGCTAAGCTTCAGCTGTACATTCCGAGAAAAACAGCATTCTAAGATCTCAATTTCAAATCAAAAGTTACTGAATCATGTTTTGAATTGTTTTGAATTGCAGCTATACGCGACGTAGCCCACTGATCCGACGAATTATAACAACCGCGCGCGCGTGTGCGTCGTTCCAATACTTGTGCGCGCTGTGCTGAATAACAAAACGAACTACTAATTTAAATTTTCCTACGGTGCTTCTTAAGAATCACCATTGGAAATGCCTTGTTTCGTTAATTACTTCAAAATGACAGCTTCCCAGAAAGAATAATTTCACAGGGAGTTTGTTTTTCAACAATAATTACGCCAGTTACTTTTCGGATGGCTGCAAATGATGGACTATAGCTTTAATTTCCATGCTTGCTAATAGAATTCTTTTCAATTTACAGAATGAAAACAGTTTTTATACGTGATACATGTACATGTATGTATACCTTTTAGAAATGCTGGGCACTGTACATGTATCTGCATGACTGTACTAGTAATTCGACCTGCGTAGCAATATGTCCTAATTAGCATAAAACGCCACATCTCAAATTTACTGTGATAAATTAATTTATACATGAAATACTACTAATAATAATAAAAACATTTTATAGCACAACCTTCACATTCATGCATTACATAATGTGCCTCAAAAATAATACATTAAAACAACTGGAATAAAAATGTATTTAATTCCAGTCCAGATAAAAGTTGGTACGAATACGTAGCAGAAGTAGGGGTTTTCTGCATTTTTTTCTGGATTCTTGGATTTTAAAAAGCCTGAATGAGAATGTTTCATAGCTGTATTGTTTCTTTTTTGGTCAATAGTTAATGTGAAAGAATCACAATGAGAAGTTTTTAGGAGTGTCTTTTTGGGGGCAAATGCGTGAATGTACCTTCAATAGAATGTGTGTTGCTCTGGCATGTGTGGGATGCCGCCAAAAAATGTTTTCGGGGTAACATTGTATACATGTACATGTAGCTGACATATAACAGCTGTATATTAGCCCATGTGTGGGTTCATGTTATTTCCTGGCTTCAATTTTCCAGTTTATGCGACATTATATTTTAGCTGTTGAAAATAAATTGTATTACTTTTCTTTGCCGTGATTGTTAACAGAGTGGAATGCCAACTCTTACCAGCGACATGTCCAGCGGTAGTTCACTTTCACCTCATGCCAAGCCTGGTTCACCTTATTACTATAGCCCTCACCACAGACGCAGACCACTTGTGCCTGAACATCCTACATTTACAGGTAACTCCTCAATATGAACAGTCTTCCTCAGTATCACATGTGTAGAACCAAATTACTTCCATTTGGTCCTTCACATTTTACAAAAATCAACCAAAACAATTTGAATTCCACTTCTTAAAATATGATTTGAGGCATTTGGAGAGTATGAGTGGCTAAAGTTAGCATGTACAAGTGGGAGCGACTAGCTTGAGTCACTAAGCGAAGGGGAGTTCTGCATAGAACCAGTTGATATTGCTAGGGGTGCTTTTGATTGCTTCGGTTAAATACCTGTCAAATATTAATTGGTTTTTATCTCTGTAATTTTCAGGGCCACCAAAACGAAGGAAAGGCCCCCCAGGGGGGTTAACAGTAAGTAATCATTTCAGAAATCCTCAATTCATATTGACATCTAAATGACTTAAAAGTGGGTGCATCCAGTATATTACTTGTTTGTGGTAAGAGCGTCCCTTTGGTTAGTGTGATTAGCTGGAAAAAAAACGTAAGGGTCCTGATTCCTCACATTTTAATTGATGTTTTTGCAAGCTCTATGTGGGGTACATTGTAAGTGTTTAAGGGTACAAAAAAGAAAAGAAAATACAGTAAACTGTCGTTAACTCAAATTCGGATTACTTGAAAACTCTGTTTACATGTATGTCGAAGTAATACTACATTCCCATCAAGAGAATAGGATATTATGTACATAAATACCCCCGTAACTCAAAATTGCGAAGTTTTTTTCATTATTCAATACTGCCCAACACTTTGTCTTTTCACGTGGGGATGCAGCGTACATGATGCCATTGTGATCGGACTCCAGCCTGTGGCCGCAACAAATCCTGGCTTTCGAGTTACACGTAGCCTGATTGCTACCGCTGGCCCAATTGTAACCTGCACGCCAGCAGTTCAATCTTGCTGGCTCTTTGCGGTGGACATGCGTTCCCTTGAGATTTGACTTAACAAGAGTTTACTGTACCTTGGAATAAGTCAAGGCACTCACAACCAAAGTTAAACAGCTTTAAAACTGTTTTGCCCATACCATCATGATATGTCACACTTTGCTTACAATGCATCATTCAGGAAAAGAAATGAGGCCTAGCAATCACAACGCTGAACATGCAAATTATGCAATAATGTAATAGGTCACTGGTATTTGTTCAGAATGCATTGGTAGGCATTATTTGCTTAGAGTTTTCCGTAAAGCATTGGAGTGTAACCTTCAACCTAAACTATTTGAACATTATTTGTTAAATGTTTACGGCTGCCCTACGCAGTGCTTTCTTTTTTCCATAAAAGAAATTAAATTAGACTTGCTGAAATATCATTCAGAAAAGCGCAATTACATGCAAGGCACACACAGGTGGACATAACGCACATACCAGGCTGCAAAGGGAAACCAAAAAGGGGGCTTTGGTGGCAAACTTCAGTTCATTCTGCTATATAGTACTGCACCTTTCAGATAAACGCTGCCAACTGGCCTGGTGTCCAGCCTCAAGTACTCATTGGAAAAGGCCCTAGTGTGCTGCACATGCTATCAGTTTACAATACCAGATGCTTCAGTGTAGTCGACTCTCTGCGGAACTGTAAAAGTCAGAATTTTATCAAAATCGATCAAAATTATATTTCAAATTTTCAAATAAGCCACAAAGGGAAACTGACTAGGTGAAAGTTGAACAAAGAAATTGACTGGAGCGGGGTTCGAACCTGCGACCTCCGAATTGCCGTTCTGGTGTTCTACCAACTGAGCTATCGAGCCCTATGTTGGCGGTTCCCCAATTTGTCAATATTCTTGTTAAAGGGGCGCTAGTCAGAAGACATAATCCCAGAGGTCACGATACTATAGCAACATTAGCAATACTGCACACCTGGGAAATAGCAAACAGGGATCACTCAAAGAGGATACGGCAATTATATTTCGGCATTTTGTTATCCGACCCCATAAATGTGAACAAGGAAAAAAGCTTAACAGTATTTGACAGATCTGCTGAAGCAGAATAACCCACCAGTGTTAAGACACACAAAAATACAACTTGGTTGTGAAGTCTAATCATTGCTGATACACTCAAGTTGAACAATACAAATTCACTGTGCTCACCTGCTGTCATATACATGTAACAAGTTTATTTTACTTGTTAATGGCCTAAAGGTCCAATTGAATGTCTTCAATTTTCTGGGGGAAAAAGTTTTGCCAGAGCTGGAGGAAACTGTTTTAAGATGGGATCAAAAAAGTTGGAAGTCCACTGCACAAAAAGTCATTCGAGGCCGTTTGCTCAACACGTAAAATCGGTAGCTCACAAAATATCCCCGTGTGCGATCAATTTTTGCTGAGTTTTCTTGCTGCTCCAGGCCGTGAGGCAAATATCTATCCTGTTTGATTTTTTTCACCTTGCGAGGTGAAAACACACCGTGTGCGGGCAATCTGAGTTATATGCTGAGCCAAAAAAATTAACTAGCTCATGAAATCACGTACTCTGTACACATGATTTTAAGATATTGTTGTGCATTTCTTCTAAAGCCTGCTGGCATTTGTCCCCATTTTTGAAATCACGCGACTGATAACAAGAATACATGTAATGTACTTTCATTGGCTAATTAGTTTTTTTAGCTCAGCACGTTGCTCAGATTGCCCGTACACAGTGAGTTTTTTGCCTCGCGAGACAAAAAAAATCAAACAGGATTTGCCTCACGACCTCCCGAGGCAATAAAACTCAGCAAAAATTCACCGCACATGGGGATATTTTGTGAGCTATGTTCTGAACAAACGGCCTCGAATGACTTTCTGCTCAGCACGTACATTTGTACATGTAGCTCTCATGTGCGGCAGGCTTTAAGAACAGAATAGTTATTCCCAACAAGCAACATACCATGTAACTAGGCGCCTTTCCCCCCCCCCCCCCAAAAAAAAATTTAATTAAAAAAGAGGAAGGGTCAGTACATGTAGGTAGGATTAGGTTTTATTTGTTTACATACATGTACTCACCTATAATAATAATTGGCTTATTATGCTTGCTGACAGGTGTACATCTGAGCAAGTCCCTGTGATTTTGCATTTTCCTGCCGAACCCCGCCCAAACCATTGTTTGGTCAAGATTGTTGGACCTTATCAAAAGGAAAATGTTCAAAACTTGAGAGTTGATGTGCAGTATGGCAATTCCATCGTTGTGGACTTTACATTTAGAGCCTACTGATCAATTTGAACCAAAAAAAATAAATAAATAAAACACTTGCAGTGAAAGCAAATTTTATATATTCTGTACAACTCTAGTTAGGCCTTGATGACATGGATAACTTAGTGTTAGCTGAATTAATTATATATTAACTCTATACGAACACCAATGACATTTTACAAAAGCATGCTTTTGTTAATGTTTCAGACATTACATTATACTGAAATCAATTTCACACACGTGATAAAAAAACCCACTGAATCATGGTATTCTTACCAAATTTAGCCCAAAAAACAAACGTTTTTCTTTTTGGACCCCCCCCCCCAACTGGCACACCACTCAAATAAATGGTTCTAATTTTCCCCTTTTATTTGATGCTACATAAGATTTCATAAATTTGTCACTTTTCAGCCGTGCCCACTTTTGCCTGGATTGCCCAGTACCATCACAAGTATTTATGGAAATAACTTCCAGTTAAATGACACTTGGCATTACTTTGGAAAATAGTTTGCCTCAAAGGAAAGATTATTTGAATTACTGACCCAAATAATGCAACAATTGACTTCATATTGAGTTTTTTTTAACCAATGTAGTTTCAGTAATCTAATAAAAAGAACTAAAGTGGTAAGGCCAAAAAAAAAAAAAAAACGGTCTCTGGTCAGACCGAAGCTCCGGAATTGATGCGGCGACGCGTTTTGTTTTGTTTTTTGGGTGGCTTTTTTTTTTTTTTTTTTATGCCCCGCGGCGAAGCCGAAGGGGCATACTGTTTCCGCCTTGTCCTTCCATGGGTGGGTGGGTGTGTGTGTGTGTCCGGACAAATCTTGTCAGCGCGATAACTTGAGAAATACTTAACATATGAACTTCAAATTTGGTTTGTGTATTGTTCTTGGTAATCCTAAGAACCCTTGTGCATTTGGGGCCGAAAGGTCAAGGGTCAAGGTCACAGCGACTAAAATAAAAGAAATCTTGTCAGCGCGATAACTTGAGAAATACTTTACACGTGAACTTCAAATTTGGTTAGGCCTATTGCATTGGGGGTCGAAGGGTCAAGGGTCAAGGTCACAATGGCTAAAACAATAAAAATCTTGTATTTATTATGAGATCATAGGGATTAGGGATTAATTCATATAAAACCTACAGAAGACACTAATGCTGTCAATGAACGTTCCATGTGACCAAGGTACATGTAAGTTGATGTTAAAAGAGTGGTGTTATGTCATGGGAACAGTCACGGTTGCGGGGCATTTGTGTTTGTAAACACACCTGACTTGTTCAAGCTTGAATTGTACAGACAAGGTGGGTACTATTTTGCTTTTTTGTGTCCTCATTATACATTGGTGTCCTCCATAATTTGCCTTGGTGCCCTTTATCATTTGCCTCGGTGCAATTTCCCCATTCCTTGGTGCTCCTTGGTACAAACATTTGAGGAGGTGCGGCAAATTTGAGGAGGCGCTGTTGTAGCTTCCGTGTTAATTTGAAGGGAAAAAAAAGGTTGACGTGCATGATTAAAATCGACGCGCGCGCTGACCAGAGACCGATTACTATTTTTTTGTGGCCTAAGCATTGTAATAGAAACCACACAGCAATGCAGCAACTACCGGTATACTGGTACTGTACATGTACCGCCGTACTCTGCATTAGTGTGAAGCAAGATGATTTCAATGTGCTGCAACACAATGACTGTTATAATATATTCTCATTAACATTTCAAGCTATTAAAAGCAAGTAAAATGCAGACAATATGTTAAAACCTTACGTTTAATATTTTCCTTTCAGTTCATTATGGTGTGGAGTCTATTGGGTATTTGTTTACATTCTTTTGGGGGTAAACTGAAGCCCTGTTTGTTTCAAACACTACAAGTCACCCTAAACTGAGTGTTTGATCTTAAGCTTGAGACTTCCAACCGTGGTCCCAAGCAGGTCAAGCTCCCCTGGGTATCAGACTGAGAAAAGGTCACATCCACAATCTGACTGTTCTCTGTCTTAAATAATGACAGTCTAGTCTATTCCAACTAATAATTATTGTAGTTGTCCGTTCTGCAAAAATTCTGAACAGAGTAAATTATTTAATTGCATATTTTGTTGTCTTCATAGAGTTCATAATTTAGCTGTTGGCAATTAATTTGTGATGTCATTACTTGGATTGCTTTGTTATTCAATTCACACATCCACATCATTGCACACTGAGCATTTTGGACAATAATGTAATCACTTCATCTCTATCTAACGCCACTGAATTAGAGACAAATGAAGCCAGTACCTCTTCAATACCCTGTGTCCTTGCTTTGCCAGATGGGGCCCTGCATACAGCAAGCATTCAGTTCATTAAGTAAATTGCAACTTTGTCCCATCCTGATTCCAGCAGTTCAAATTTGTCACTAGATTTTTCTTACTTATAAAGAATCCCTGCAAACTCTGCACATATGAGGTAATGCATACGTGTTGTTATGATTTTGACATTGTGCAATGTACATATGTATGGTTCTGTTTCACCTCTGCCAAGTGTTGTGTGATTGAAGGTACATGTACCACTACCAGAATACATGGAAATATTATAGATATAAACATACTGCAGCTGCCATACTACAGTTTATTCAGCACTTTACCAACATTAATCTGTACAACGTTGTGTGCTCTGTATAAATTTTAAACAGTAAAAGAAAATGTGGTGCTTTTTGATAAGTCATTTGTTGGTAGCTTTTGTGAGCTCTTAATATGTTTTGTATTTTAACACTCTTGTCCAGTTAATAATCTTTGATTTTTTAATTTTTTTTAATTTGCAGGTGTATTCTCCTAATAGTCAAGAGGACTATCACCATTCATCCGATCCATCCAGTTACCCTTCCCCTAAGCCTCCAGGCATATATCCTAACGAGTACTTCATGGGTAAGCAAGATGCCAGGAGATTCATATGGGAATCAATCCATGAATGTTTTATTAAATCATCAAGATTCATATTAGGAAAGTTGTATTTTTTCAATGATTTCAACGCCATATAGCATAATCCATACATGTAATACGTACATACACATGTAATGGCATTCTGTGATGTCAGGCGAAAATAGCCAAAGCGCAAAGCTGGCTCCATCAATGTGTGTACACATGCTCAGCACTTCTGCATGCATGCGATTGGATCGGATACCGGGGACATCCGCAATATGGGCTACGCTGTGTTTTTGACTTTAACAAAATAGGAAACAAAAAGTATGTCTTATTTTTTCAATTTACTTAAAGTACTGTTTTTTTTGGGGGGGGGAGGGGGATTGATTAAAATCTTGGGTTTTTTTTTCATATATTGAAAAATCCCAAGTAACCGAAATGTTCTCATTTTATTTTGTTTTTCTAAAATTGTCAAATTCAGAGTTGGCGGGTTTGTAATCCAACAAACTAAAAAATGCTGGCCTAACTACGACTGTATACTGCAATATGCATTGCAATATAACTTGCGCCACGTATGGGCCACTCAACTCATCTAAACAATGTATATTTTGGTCAGTTAGCAATCCGAAATTGAGAACTATGACACCTATTACTGCAGGTAAACCCATATTGTTCCTGTGCATCTGGGGAGTTAAGCCTGACTACTATTATCCCCACAATTCACTGTAACATTGAGGTTTTTTCTTCCAGATGCTGCTTCAGGCACCCACAGTCCACATAGTACAGATCCCTGGAACAGTAATGGGCTGGCCCCATCCAGTGCTAGCTTTCATTCTACTTCCATCTTAGGCAACTCTGCTTCTTCATATTCACAATCACAAACTACATACCCACCACATGAACCTATGGTAAGAAAACAAAATGTATATCATTCTCTTATTTTTCTGTTAAATTAAAAACAATCATTATGCTCCTCACAACTGATATTTTATAGTCTTTTTTAATGTTGTGGCTATGAGCCTGTTTTCACCTGAATGTCCAAATACGCTGGATCAGATCCCTTAGTACTGGGTGTTGTGGGAATGTTTAGTGCAAAAAGAGTGATTTAACCCCATCTGATGCAGCATCTTTATAATACGGATAGGGGTCTCCCAGTTGGTGGATCCAATCTTGCCAATTGACCTGGCTACTTCTGGTCATCAAGGCGCTGTAGTGTAAGCACACAATGAAAGGGTGATACAACAATAAGATTCATTGTTGCAAATTGTAAGGATAAAACAGAGAAAGCTTCCATGATGGTAGGCTTAGTGTGTCTACAGGGCCTTATGCTGATTGCACTGAGAATTTATGATGCAAAATGGGTGCTTCACAAAGCAATTTGGGATGTTCTATTGTTAGAGTTGTTAGTCTCTTTGTAATTGGGGGTGGGTATTATTTCACTTTTTTTCACTTTTTAATGTTCTGCCCCTTTCAAAATATGTAGTAGCCTACTAGAAACAACAATCAAACATTAAAACAAACATTGGAAAAGTTTAACCCCCCTGTACATGCCATCAAAAAGTTTTGGGCGAAGGGCACCCTCTATGGCTAGTTGAACTGACATGTTCCCTGACTTCAAAAGTCATCAAAAGTAATATATTTTGCAGTTCAATGATTACTTAAACAAGTGAAGTTACTTTTACTGGCCATTTCTTGCAACATGATTGTGAAAAAGTTGGTTTTTGGTCCATAGTTAGATGACAGTTTTTCCACTCACTTTCCCTGAGCATATGACTGCATTCCTAATTTGAAACTTGTGATATCACCACTCGGTTCAGGGTGATTAAGTTCCAACGTCATGATTGTTAATCAAGTTTAAAATTTGTGACCTCCACTTTACCATTGTTGAAATCTGCCTTGCAGTAAACTTCATGGATAATTTGTTTTGTAATTAATGAGGTGGGTAAAAATATTGGTATTAATTATATTTAGTTCTTCATCAGCCCAAGTCAACTTGGTCAAAGCTACATGTACTAACTGTTGATCTTATTGAGCGAAGATAGCCAGGTTCCTTCTGAGAATACTCTGGTGTAACAAGTTTACAATACCAGAAGTAATGTGCAGTGGAATTCTGCACAGGATGAATTTAAGGATAAACTAGTACTATAAGGCATGGGAGGACTATTCGTATCATCAGACCAGGTTGATAAGTATATGAGTGTATGGAAGACTAGGCCCTAGACTAGGCAAATCTGACGCTATATTTGGGTAACAAAAGCAGATGCAAGGATGGATGATATTCAACAGAGCCGGTCATGGACATCTCTTAAATAAGTATGCATTCAGCATGAATCATACCCGCAATGACTTTTGAGTGAATAGCTACATGTATATATATACTATTCTCTGCTTTTCCCTTTCAATTCAGCATATACATGTAAATTTATCTGACACAAGTGAACTTGTTTAACACTTGGACCAATACTAGCCAAGTTATGTGTAAGCTTGGAAAACGGGAAAAATTCAACAAATCGCAAACAATTAAAAGTGCAATCCTCCTCTTTTGGCAATTTTCAACGGTCCGTTTAGTTGAGGAACATGTTTTTCAACTTTTGTGTTTTTAATTATTGTTTTGGTATGTGCTGAAAATTTTTTTTCCCCAGGCAAAACAAAAATAAGTAGACCTGTTGGTACATATAACTGCATTCCGCATACAAAGCTGCATGGGCATGTGTTTTAAACCTAAGATTTTTTCTTTTTAAAAGTAAGAATTTGTATCGGCAATGGTTAAAGTTGTAATGACATACATGAAATACACTTCAGAGGTGAAACAAAAGGATTTACTAAACAAAAAATAAGGGAAGTTTCTTTATTTCCCCTAGATTACTAACTTTTGTCAAGGCTAGACCAGTGTGGGAGAAAATAGTCTGGAGCCGAAAAATAGTTACATACACTTTGTGCACAAGGAGTCAGGGCACCATACTATATTTTCAAAATGACACTTTGAGGGCCATGTACAGGGGGGTTAATGGTCTCAAATAATTTTTAAAGCATTTTTCCCTTGATTCCCATGGGTCACTACATATTTTGAGGGGGCAGCTAAAAAAGTATGGGCTAATACCCACCCCTATTGTAATGCACAATCATCATGCATGCACGATCAGGAGTTGCCAAAGCCTGTATAGAAATCTTGCCTGGAATCTTTAACCGCTGCTCTGTGTTTGCGACAGCACTGCAAGCACAAGGCTGCAACTCAACCGCAGCTAAGTCTGCTGTGAATCAACTCTATCAATCAACTACTGCATTATTTGCACTGAAGCCCTAGAAATTTCTAGGGAAAAAATGCCTATATGCGATCCAACGCTGCACTTATCTTTAAAATTGTTTTTTAATCTGCCCAGATATAGGGCAATCTATATTATGATTGGCTAACATGCTGCCTGCAAATGTAAAATCCTAGCTAACCTAGCCAGTAAAATTTATATGACATAAAGATCTTGAACCTTCCTCGCCAGATTAGACATTGTCATAGAGACATAAATTTAATTGTCATAAAGTCTGTATCGGTACGTTGGCAGGAAAAAAATCACAGTTCATAGCCCAGATTGAATAGATATTTAGTTGCAACCCTTGGTATAGTGGTTATTTGATTGAATGTTAATATCTTTTGTATTTACTGTTGTACAGGGCTATGGTCAGAGTCAAAGTGGTGGTCATGTCCACAGTCATAGTTTGTCTCCCGATCGTGATCCCTTGAGTCTTCCTCCTATGTCAACCTTTAGACCTGGGACAACAACCTCCTCCACGCATCCACACTCTCCATATTCAACCTCATCACCAACCAATGGAACAGACACAACATTAAGTAAGTTGGATTCTGTGGGCTTGCTACCAAGGATGTGTTAATGCAGATGATTTTTATCACTGCTTTTAGATGGGCGGATCTTTTTATTTTTTAATGTGTATCTATCGAATGACATGAAATTCCATATTGTGTCATAAAATACACAGATGGATCAAGTACGTGTAGTTTCATTGCTAAAGGTGCTCATAACCAATTAACTGTTACCACTTTAACCATTTACACTGTAAAGTGCACCTTGTGAAGGTATTTGGAGTAACTGATTGATTACAGAACGTTGCTACTTCTGCTAGACCCTCTCAAGGGTTTAGAAACCTTGAGAAAGCAAAAACTTCTTCAAATGAAACTTGTTTCTTTTTTTGCTTTGATTCATGAGATTACCTTTGTGTTTATTTGTAGCTGTTAGAGGAACGACAAATGTAAGTGGAGGAGGGGGCAATTCACAAACAGGAGACACATTGGGAAAGGCATTAGCCTCAGTAAGTATAATATGCTCAAATATCTTCTTCTTTTTTTTACTTCTTTTAAATTTTGAATTAACCAAATTAATTGTAGTTTTCACTGTTAAATAAAATTAGATTACTTTTACCATTCTCAGATGAAAGCAAAATATAACAGCATTACAGCAAATATGCATAATGCCATTCCCACTGCTGTCATTCCCACTGTCATTCTGACTGTCATTCTGACTGTCATACAGGTTTTGATGGTACCAAGTACCATAGTACCAAGTACAATGTGAATTCCCTATTGAACCACTGATTATTATGGGAAAAATAGCCAAATGTGATAAAGAAAAACAATTGTTTAGGTAAGTGTACAAGAGTAAACCTAGTTGGTTGATCTTGCATATTTGGGACCTGTTTGGTAAGCTGAAGACTTGCAATCTTGTGAGTGCCTCACTCTTTTATTGTAGGTGATAATATGCTTCTTAATTCCTGTAATACCCACAATCTGGGCCTACATGATTTCCTTCTCAATCATGCCTGCTCACAAATAGATCAAGTGGGAGTCAGGGGGTTTAACTTAAAAGCCTGTTTGTAAAGGGACATATATGTAAGTTGTCACGAGGGGTGTTGCACAAAAAGGAAACAATCCTTTCAGACTGTACTTCATTCTGTGTGGATGTTGTGGAAGTGTTTGCTGATGTTAAAACTGTTTAGTTTTGTCCCTTTTGAACCAACATGTTAAGAACTAAAAATGATGCCTGTATAGTACAACAGATTTTACCCAGAGTGTATACTAAGTTTTAGTAGGCGAAATCCCATTATAACAAATTGGAGTTATCTAGAGAATCCGCTGGCTGATTTTAAAAAAAGATTCCTGTATAGTGGAAAGGAGTTACCAGTCAGTGTATTGTCTGCAGATTGACAAGGAGGTAGCTTGGCAATCTATTGGCTTCTGGCTGACAAGGACCCTGTATAGCAGAAAGTAGGTACCTAGACGATCTATTGGCTTGTGGTTGACAGGGACCCTGTATAGCAGAAAGTAGGTACCTTGGCAATCTATTGGCTTCTGGTTGACAAGGACCCTGTCCGCAGATTGACAAGAATATGTATAGCAGAAAGGAGGTACGTGTACCTAGATGATCTATTGGCTTCTGGTTGACACGAACCCTGTTCGCAGATTGACAAGAATATGTATAGCAGAAAGGAGATTCCTAGACAATGTATTGGCTTCTGGTTGAGAATGACCCTGTGTAGCAGAAAGGAGGATCCTAGACACTGTATTGGCTTCTGGCTGACAAGAACCTTGTATAGCAGGAAGGAGGTTCCTAGACAATCTATTGGCTTCTGGTTGACACGAACCCTGTATAGCAGGAAGGAGGTACCTGGACAATCTATTGGCTTTTTGGCTTCTGGTTGACAAGAACCCTGTATAGCAGAAAGGAGGTACCTAGACGATCTATTGGCTTCTGGCTGACACGAACCCTGTAAAGCAGAAAGGAGGTACCTTGGCAATCTATTGGCTTCTGGCTGACAAGGACCCTGTATAGCAGAAAGGAGGTACCTAGACGATCTATTGGCTTCTGGCTGACACGAACCCTGTAAAGCAGAAAGGAGGTACCTTGGCAATCTATTGGCTTCTGGCTGACAAGAACCCTGTATAGCAGAAAGTAGGTACCTAGATGATCTATTGGCTTCTGGCTGACAAGAACACTGTATAGCAGAAAGTAGGTACCTGGACAATCTATTGGCTTCTGGCTGACACGAACCCTGTATAGCAGAAAGGAGGTACCTAGACGATCTATTGGCTTCTGGTTGACAAGAACCCTGTGTAGCAGAAAGTAGGTACCTAGACAATCTATTGGCTTCTGGTTGGCACGAACCCTGTATAGCAGAAAGTAGGTACCTAGATGATCTATTGGCTTCTGGTTGGCACGAACCCTGTATAGCAGAAAGTAGGTACCTAAATGATCTATTGGCTTCTGGTTGGCACGAACCCTGTATAGCAGAAAGGAGGTTCCTAGACAATATATTGGCTTCTGACTGACAAGAACACTGTATAGCAGAAAGGAGGTACCTAGACAATATATTGGCTTCTGGCTGACAAGAACACTGTATAGCTGAAAGGAGGTACCTAGACAATCTATTGGCTTCTGGTTGGCACGAACACTGTATAGCAGAAAGGAGGTACCTAGACAATCTATTGGCTTCTGGTTGACACGAACCCTGTATAGCAGAAACGAGGTTCCTAGACACCGTATTGGCTTCTGGCTGACAAGAACACTGTATTGGAGGAAGGAGGTACCTAGACAATCTATTGGTTTCTGTTTTTTGATGTTTGCAAATTTTGTATATTCCCTTTAAGAGGTATGAAAAGTTGCAAAATATTTTACTCAGAAAAATTCATTTCATGGACCCTTTAAGATCTCTGTGTAGAAGAAATGAGGTGCCAATGCTGCTAGTTATCTCATTGTGTAGTTAGAGGTACCTAGGCTGTCTACATGTAAGTAACCTGAGGGAGGCTCCTCCCTTTTCTCCTGGAGCAGTTTTGTGATTGACATCAACTTCTGTACCACCCTTGAAAAAATTATTTTCAGCTTAGGCCAGACAAAAAATACCTTTGGTGCGGGTCACCCGACCGACCCTTTTTTTGAAAGCGATATAATGTGACCCCACACAATTTGATTGGTTATTTGGGGGGAAAAATATTACAATACCGACGGTCAAAATCCCCAACCGCCAGAACAATTTATCAGCGAGTGTTTTTTTTTCTTTCTGATATTATTCGAATGAAAACATTGTGGTCTAACATCAGTTTGCGTGTACTTTTAAAAAAATGTGTACGTTGTACCAAAACCGCTTGGGTCTTTCGTCACGTAATCATCATTGCAACGCAGTCAAAAATGTCTGGTCCGTGTGTGTCTCATGATCCTCCGTGCGGATACACGTGTGTGCGAGCAGGGCAGTATTGCGTGCAGGGAAATCCCTACTTTAATGTCTGTGCCCAATAAGCAATTTTATTGGCTGACCGCATGTTACACGGCCGTACAGACTTTCAAGCCTACGGACGCCATGCATCGTGAAAACCAATTTTCGATGAAACTTTTGTTGGAAGCAAAGTGTGCTAACGATCTTTTTATTTTAAACTAAACGCTTTTAGGTTGCTGAAAGCAAGTCTTTGTTTACATCGCCTTAGCCAATAGGAAAAATCATTATGCGATATTCCACCAATGGCCACGTGCGTTGCACAGACTTCACATCGATCGGACGGCCGCATGTCTTTTGTGGCTTTCGTTCGGCTCTTGTGCACGTGCACGCAAGACTGCAATTTGCTCTAGACATCGGAGAAAGTGCAAATTGTCCAAAAGCAAAAAGGAAATTTCTTCCAGTGAAATAAAACATGCGACCATGTGACCCAAACCAATTTTTGTCCTTTTTTGGCCTTATGAAAGTTTGCTTTGGCAAGAGGGAATTGTCGGTTTGCTACTCAAACTACTCATTAAAGGACTGAAGACCGAGAAGTAAATTGTATTGTATGACTGATTTCTAAGGTGGTGTTCCACAAACATTTATTGGGGGTGATTTTAATCCATGATATAACATAAGACAACTAATGTCAAGAAATTACAATCCTCGTTATGGTCTTATGAAGGCAGATAATTCTAAAATTAAACTTTTATAACAAATGAGACTAACAGTGTTACTCTCCATATGCATTGATGGGACCTTGTACAGCTTGTACATTTTGGTTTTTTTCAAAAGGCCATTTTATTTAGGTTATCAACTTTTATACCATGTCTGTGTGACAGTGGAAGAGGCCATGTAGTCAACAATGACTGAAAGAGGGCGCTCTTATGGTACTGCACTGAAGCTGACTGTTAGAATCAGAAAATGTGTATGTGTATACTGCCCTCTGTTGACATCATGGCAACATCAGTCCCGTGTTCGCATAAGCCGTTTTTGTCAAATCACATTCTGATCCATGTGGTATGCATTACTTATCTACACAAAGGAAATTGTTACACTTTCTGCAGCTGGTTGTGAAGGATTGTTGCTATATTGAATGTTTGCATTTAGGGGATCAAAGCAATTCTTCCACTTAGGCTGAATGCAAGGACTACACATACTTATGTCTTTCATAGGTTTTGCAAACACTGTCAATAAAATAGTTTACTTTCATAAAGTGACTTTCCATTGTAGTTAAAGCCAAGAGAAATAAAAGACGAGTTCATTTACTTTCTTCAATATCAGTTTAACAGCGAATGTTTCACTGACGGAATTTTTTTCCAAATTTGATTCACTAATCAACAGCAAGTGCCAACTAAATAAGTTTTTATTCATTTCACAGATTTCAAGAATTTGTATGAATATTTTTAACTAAGCTGGGGAAAAATGTGGTTTTTTTCTGTGTGTAAGCTTCACTTTTCACATTTCATCAAAATAAGAGAAGATCCCTAAAGCCCAGTGGCCTCAGTATTCAGTCTTCCTATTTCCTGACATTTCACTGAGCCATGTGATTCATGACTGATATTTCCCTTCTTATTACACCAGTCCTAATCCTACATTAACACTGCTATTTTCTTCAGTAAATTATTGGGTTTTTTTTGCTTTTCTGCAAATCATAGTCGAGTTCAGAAGTTCATTTTATACTATCATCAATAACTGTTCAGCTTTTCCTTTGATGAAAGACAAAGCTTCCCAGCCTGTGTGTACATTTCAGGTGTGTGAAGTCAGTGGCCTATACTCAACTTATCAACTAGCAGAGGCCATCCTTAGGAAGAGCTTAGTGTATATCATCTATCCATGTGAATGGTGTGTGCCTGATAAAGCTGTGTGAGAGAGAGAGTAAGAATGAATAAAAGGATGGGAAGAAATGAACCAGAGGTAGAAACAGTGATTAAAGGCAATATACAACATTTGCAAACATCCAAAAACAAAACTACCAAATTGTTATGAAATACCTCACTGGACTGGTAGTGAATGCAGTCTAAAGCATCCTGTAAAATCAAGGCACCTGGTGTGCTGTCATTTTC